TACGGTTGGGTTTCATTCACGATAGCAAGACTCGGTGTGGCGCTTATAGCTAGTGAGCAGCTTCATCCAGGCGACATGTTTGAGACATTTTCTAACAAAATTTTGCCGGGTAAAGGCTTAAAATGTTTTATGTGAGCGTTGAGCAATCAACAGATGGTTCTATAGACTTTTGACGACACATTCCACGATTATCAAAAGGCAGGACACTCAAAACCACTGGACCTACCTGATTGATGCGCCTGTCACTCTAATACGATAAAGAAGTAAGACGAGTCATTGCGAAAGGCAATACGGCTTTGAGCCTCTGCCCATTAAATTTTGGTGAAATATGACTTTCAATGCTTATTTGTGGCTTTTAAAGTCTTTTATGAAGCAGTTACCACTCTTTGCAGTACTTATCAGTTTTTTTCTACAGTTACTCACTAACAATGTTCCGTTTGCATATAGTTGCCATACTCTTTTTGCCTGGCTTAATTGTTAAGTATCCGTATTAAGTAACAAAGAAAATAAGTTAATTGGGCAATATTTACCCTTTACTGCCCCAGTCATCCGGAATCGGGCCAGTTTTCCCCGTGAACAGATTTGGCTCAAATGTTGTCTCCTGGGGTAGTTTGACCTCCTGAATACGAATATCACATTTGCTTGGCCGAAACCTCCTGGCGCCCGCGCCATAGGCGTCGGTGATATGGGTATTCTGGCGCCGACGTCTGTAGCGCGAGCGCCAGGAGGTTTCGTGCCAAGCGAATGTGATGTTCGTGTTCATTAGGACAAACCCCCCCCCCGATACAAGTTTTCGGCGAGTTTGGTGATCCAGAAAAGCCAGGAGAAGCGGATGTGATATTCATTAAAGGCAGAACCCGCGATTATTCGCCATCTCAGATGGTGGATTAGGGGGTTCCATATAGACGACAAGGGGTTGAGTAACTCGACTGTGAACAAAAAAAGCACAAAAACATGCCACCTGCCCTAGATAGAACCCCATTTCGATCCCAGTTTGTACGTGCCCAATCAACTCTATCTCCAAAACTACGCCCTCATATGCACAGCTGATTCACCGATAAGATTTCTACGATCGTACAAGTGGCGATTATCATGCTTTTTCGTCCTGCAATCTCATTTTTCACTGGAAGTCGGTCATTAGGGGCGGAGTCTGGAGGCGGAGTCACTGGAAAAAAGGAGGAGAACCTATATTGCGCTACAGCGCCCCTCCCATAGAATTTTTTGCCGCGAAACCGGTACAAGGTTGTTCGTCGCGGACCACTCTAACCTCCTGACGCCATATTTTCAACTTCGATACCTGATCGCGGACCGTGCCTTTAAGGAGTTCAAACTACCCCAGGAGACAAATTTTGAGCCAATTCCGCTCACGGAGGAAAAAAGTCGGTCAATAACTGGCCGGATTTCGGTGTCGAACTGTTGCTATTTGTCTAGGGGGGTGGTAGAACTGTTAAGCATCGGCGACTCGATAAGAGCGTCGTAAAAAGGATAGACAAAGTTGTGTGAGGAGTGTTGATGCACTCAGTTCATGAGGGCAAGTTCAGGAGGGTTCCAAGGACAACAAAAGGGTGCAGCTGCGAGCACCGCTATGCCTTGCCGAAAAAGAGGTAGAGATGCACGCAAACAGAGAAGAACTGGCACGGGAATACGCAACTGCCCCTGGACGCCCTTTTGACCCAACAATATGGATATCATGTTCCCATGTTCAACTACGAAAGTAAGAGAGCAAAAAAGCGATGGAAATAGTTATGAAAAGAAAAAAAGGCACTATTTACCCTTTACTGCCCCAGCCATCCGAAATCAGGCCAGTTCCTGATCGACTTTTTCTCACGTGGCGCAGAATATTTGCTGAGAGTAGATTCTGCTGGCTCCAGGGGTAGTTTGAACGCCCTGAACACAAATCTGCACATCCGCTCAATCCAAAACCTTTTGGCGCCCGCACCACGGGCACCGGCGCCAAAATACCCTAAATCATTGGCGCCTGTGGCGCGGGCGCCAGGAAGTTTCGGGCTGAGCGAATGTGATATTCGTATTCTGGAGGTCAAACTACCCCAGGAGACAACATTGAGCAAAATCTGCCCACGGTGAAAAAAGATCGTTAAGGAACTGGCGCCGATTCGGATGAGCGGGCGTAAAGGCGTAAATAGTGCCGAAAATAAAATAATGAATTAGAGTGTAAAGGGCAGGGAGTGGCATGGTATGGGCACAATAGGGATTTTGGAAGGAAGCTTCGCTCCAGATTGTGCCATATCGCGAAATATTTGTTCGAGGGGCCCACATATGATTGATCGTGCAGCTCAAGAGCTGAAGATATAGGCAATGATAAAGAAAACAGAGAGATCTTGTTTTGTGCTGATTTCTTCTACAGCACCGTTTCCCCTGCCTTCAAGTACACCACAGAGATTTAGCTTCAAGACAAGACTGATGAGATGATGACGGAACACGTCGACACCCACGGAATATTCGAAGAGGGAAAATTTCCCTTCTGTGAAACGAGCGCGTAATTTTTCAAAAATGAAGTTTCAACGGAAAAATTCTAATTGCTACAGAAGAGTGTTAGGGACGTTTTGAGGGTTTTTCGGGATAACAGGCGACGTATCCCAAAAAAACCCTCAAAAGGCCCCTAATTACGAAGATTGTTGTGATTACTGAAAGAGTAACGTACAGGCAAGGATACGGTGAAACCACAAGTCTCGATCAAGGGAGACAATGATGAAGTCCGCTGTGGATCAGTCTAGTTCTGGGTGAGTCACGCATTCTACTTCTTCTCAACATTAAAGCGACTCACTGAATGCGAGGCCGGGAGTCCATCCGGAATTCGACCTCCGGGTAAGCTCGTGGTAAGAGTCTATTGCCACTACACCACTCCCACTCACTCCCTCTCTTTTCCACCACCCCCTAGACAAATAGCAACAGTTCGACACTATATACCCTTTTCTGCAACAATCATCCGAAATCCGGCCAGTTATTGACCGACTTTTTTCCTCAGTGAGCGGAATTGGCTTAAAATTTGTCTCCTGGGGTAGCTTGACCTCCTTAATATGAATATCACATCCGCTTCTCCTGGCTGTCACCAGATCAATCAAATTCGCCGAAAACTTGGTCATCGGGAGCGGGGGGGGTAGTTTGTCCTAATGAACACGAACATCATATTCGCTTGGCACGAAACCTCCTGGCGCTCGCGCTACAGACGTCGGCGCCAGAATTCCCTATATCACCGATGCCTATGGCGCGGTTGCCAGGAGGTTTCAAGCCAAGCAAATGTAATCGTATTCAGGAGGTCAAACTACCCCAGAAGACAAGATCTGAGCCAAACCTGTTCACGGGGGAAAATTCGGTCAAAAACTGGCCCGATTCCGGATGACTGGGGCAGTAAAGGGTAAATATTGCCCAATTAACTTATTTTCTTTGTTACTTAAATACGGATGGTAACTTTAAACGATTAAGCCAAACAGCAAGCAGTATGGCCAACTGTATGCAAACGGAACAAAGTTAGTGAGTTACTGTAGAAAAAAACTGATAAGTACTGCAAAGAGTGGTAACTGCTTCATAAAAGACTTCAAAAGCCACAAATAAGCATTAAAGTCATATTTCACCAAAATTTAATGGGCAGAGGCTTCCAAAGCCGTAATTGCCTTTCTCGCAATGGCACTCGTCTTAAGCTTCTTTATACTAGCGCATGTAACAAGCTCCGCATTTCAATCAAGGTACGTCTAGTGATTATGAGTCTCCGCCCTTTTGATAATCGTGGAATGTTTCAACAAAGTCTATAGATGCAACCGTTGATTGCTCACCGAAAACATTTTAAGCCTTTAAAAACCCGGGCAAATTTTTGTTAGAAAATGCTCTCAAACATATCGCCTGGATTGAAGCTGGTCACAGCTGCTAAGCGCCTCGCCGAAGTCTTGCTATCGTCCGTGAAATGAGAGCCCAACCGTATGAACTGCTCCCATGGGACAAATCATCTGCGTACTAGACCTCGTTAGAGGGAGTTTTCGACTGAACGGCTCGTGGAAGTGACGAAACCGGCTGCTGCTGGCAACTAATCACTCTAGGTAGTGAACACCAAAACTAGTACGCAGGCATTGGGCGTCAGATGATTCTTCTCAGAGAGTTCCAAGCGTTTCATTTCCATGAGATCACTCTGACATTTTGCGAAATAGCGTACTTGTGACCAAAAGCAGTAAGTTCGTTAGCTAGCTACTCGAGGCATATAGGGAGGCATGCTACCTTTCCGGCACAAAGCTGATGCTTGAAACAAGCCCAGCCGGAGAGATAAGCAGGCACTCGGCCAACCTGGGCCAAGTGCTACTCCATAGCTCGCTATGAGCAAAAACATACGCGCGCAAACA